CCGTTAGCGCCCGGCGATTAGCTTGGTACACGCACAGCCCTGCTCAACACGGCGTCCACAGCGCGAGGAGGAACGAGCGGGTCCTGCTGCATACGCCAAAACGCCTGGTGCTTTTCCGCAACGGAGAGCCGGAAGTGAAGCACACGCTGACGCTGCAGAGGAGGACCACATACTCCTTCGAAGCGCTCTTAGATCACATGTCAGAGGTCATGCACTTCCCTGTGCTCAAGTTACACACACCTGAAGGAAGGAGGGTAAGGATTTTGCCACCAGATTGCATTGATTTTTATTTTTTCTTCAGTTTACACCTTACAATAAGGTTTGTTAGTTAACATGAACTGCATCTATACAGCATTTATTAACCTTTGTTTAAATCTTGTTAACTTTGGTTAATGCAATGTGAACTAACATAAACAGCTGTATTTTATTAACATTAAAGGGTTAGTTCACCCAAAAATGAAAATTCTGTCAGTATTTACTCGCCCTCATGTTGTTCCAACCCCGTAAGACCTTCGTTCATCTTCGCATAACAAATTAAGATATTTAAGATATTAAGATCGCTCCTGCATACTAGTCCAAAGGCTTCTTGAGGGAATGGCATCGAAAAGTCATTAAAGACATCGTTAAAATAGTCCAAGTGACTACAGAGGCTCAATCTTAACTTTATCAAACGACGAGAACACAAAAAACAACAAAAATAACGACTTTATTTCAACTATTGGTTTATTTCTCCCTCTGCGCGAGTCAGGTTACTAGTTTAATAGTGTAAGCTTCTGTTATTGTACGTCACACGCATCACACACACATGACCAGCGTCGGCCAATAGTGAGCCTTCGTGTGACGTAGCTTTACGCAATCACACTACGTTAACTGACTACAGGCCCATGGAGAAGGAAGTGAATAGTTGAAATAAAGTCGTTATTTTTGTTGTTTTTTGCGCACAAAAAGTGTTCTCGTCGTTTGATAAAGTTAAGATTGAGCCCCTGTAGTCACTTGGACTATTTTAACGATGTCTTTAATGACTTTTCGATGCCATTCCCTCAAGAAGCCTATGGACTAGTATGCAGGAGCGATCTTAATATCTTAAATATCTTAATTTGTTATGCGAAGATGAACGAAGGTCTTACGGGGTTGGAACAACATGAGGGCGAGTAAATACTGACAGAATTTTCATTTTTGGGTGAACTAACCCTTTAACAAAGATTAATAAATACTGTAACTCATGTTTGGTTCCTGTTAGTTAATACATTAATTCATGTGAACTAATTAACCATATTGTAAAGTGATAACTTCAGCTCTTTAAATCTAGTTTTCAATTTAAAAGAGTAGTTCACTTAAATTACTCTCCCCACGTCATCCAAGATGTTCATGTCTTTTTTTCTTCAACCGCAAATAAAAATGTTTCTCGACAGGTTTCCTAAACATCCCCTCCTATTATTACTGTGCCCAAATTTAAATGTAAAACAGGACGTGACACCAAGATACAAAAATACATGTACGCTTTTGACACATGGAAACAAAAATAAACTAGGACTCTATTTCCAGAGTGTTGTGTTCGATGAGCGTGGTGACCATGTCAGGTGTGGCTCTGGTGCAAGTAATCTGGCCCAGTCATAAATAGCCTTTACAGACCCAGGAAGACCAGTGACACTAATCCTCTTTACCATTTCATCCTATTATACTCTGCAATCTGGGGTAGAACACAGAAGGGAATAAGAGGCATGGCATGTAGACCACCAAACCAGCTTTATTAATAATGCTAACTTAAGTGTTCTTCAGAGCATGATTGTTATTTATGGATATTATTGAAGTATACATTAAATAGAGTAACCAATATGTGTGTATATATATATCTATCAAGCGGCAACATTCTAATCTGAAAGCTGAAGCCTACCCGGAAGTGCGAAAAACTACAATACGTCTCAAATCCGCTAGAGGGCGGTCCCAAAAAGAAGCAAATATCCATAGACGTCATGTTAAAATATCCGTTTTCACAGATTCATGTTTACAGTTTAGTCCCATGGACTTTTATTGTAAATTTCAATTGTGAGGGGGGTGAATTTTTTTCTAACTCGTTAGTTTAGATCATATGTATGACAAATAAGGGCGGTTAACTTTGATTGACAGCTGATAACGGTCTGCGCCGAGTGAATTTGACGTCTTGGCCATGATTTGACACAACACATCATACCACCTCTGTATCCTTTCTGAAACTTTTGTATTTTGTATTTCTCAAGATTTTCCAGTATGGCGCCGCCCATACCCCCCATAAACAGCCTCAAACCCGTTCTTCAGAGAGTCTATGGGTGACGTCACAGACGCTTTGTCCATATTTTTTACAGTCTATGATATTCTCGACACTTGGGCAGGAACCCTTGGGTGGGACTTGGTAAAGTTATTTTTCCATGTGCAGGAACTTTAAATGAGAAGCCTTTGGCGTCACACACAGATGCGATGGGAATGGGAAATGTATCGTCATGATGACTTTGGGTATAATTTTGCCATTATGACACACATGTTGGGGTGTGATTTTTTAAATTTACATTTATTTTATTTACAACATTTAGAAATGTTTGAGCACGTAACCCGACCCCCTAAACATACCCATTTGTGTATTATATAATATAAAGCACAGAAACAATAATTCAAAAAGTACAAATTTTCCAAGTGTTCAGAGGACAGACGATCGATTTGTGTGTGAAACGGACCCAAAAAACGAAGCTCAGATCATGTGCACGTTCAAACTTTAGCTGCGTTACGTCAGCTCGGATTTAAATCCCATTGGCTCTCGTGTCCGATTGCGTCATGCTAATGTTTGGGAATGAGCATTCATAGACTGCGATCACTTTCAGTGAATAAACCTCACACTGTTCTTGGGGTAGGGTTAGGCTCCAAAAAATATACCACTTTTATAATGCAAACCATTAAATGCGGACATGGCAAACAACTGAAAGCAATGGAGTGTCCTGAACGCCCTGACCAAGTGTCAACATTTTGGGTTGGGAGTGAGAATGTGTTCGTATTCTCTCTATAAATCCAGCATTTTAAAAACCAAGAGGAAGCCAGGAACCATTGGTGAAATCAATCCGCAGACCTCATAGGTGCACAAAATTGCTTTCACTAACTTCTGGAATAGGCTTTACACCCTTTTTTCAGTCCCTGAAACAAATAAACAACTGTTCAGACTTACGCCATTGTGAGCCCGCTTATACAACATACACATCGTCTGCGAAATCTATACTCATTTACTCACCCTCACCTGTACAACGTTCTGTCTTCAGTGGAGGATGAAAGAAGTCATTTATTGAAGAGTTGAAGAGTTGAACCCTACTGCCCGTTATCAAAGCCACACTCTGCTTGAATTTGACTTTGTTAATAACTCTTAACTTTAATAAATGACCTAATCCAACAATTATGAAGTGCACTGTATTGTAGAATGACTGCTAACTACACCAATGCTTTATTGACAAATGACACCGATGTTTTCACATTATCATAGGTGGACGGGCTTCCTGCATTGATCTTATGCTCTGGGGTATTGGTGGCCGCTGGCCGGGAACCCTTCAAAAAAAGCAACTATGATGTCCAGAATTCATCTCCACCAAAGTGGCCACCGGCTAAAAGACTGGGACGGCGGCGTCCAATAACCAGTAAGATGATTCATTTGACTTTTATTCCAGTACTCAACTGCTATAATGATGAGGAAGATGTAACTTTGCAGATATCCAATGTCTTATGTGTTACACTGCATGTCAAGATAATCTATTACCGAGACTGTCTTGAAGCAAGTGCTGAGGCATTCATATCTACTGTAATACCTACAGTGACCCACTTTCTTCAATATGGATTATAGCATACATGCTCTCTCTCTAATCTGTGTTCCTATTTTTCTCACTTGCATTGCTCCACTGCTGGCCTGATCCAACAACTCTTCATCTGTCAACACATCATCTTAAAAAGGAAAAAAGAAATCCCGCAGCGCCAAATCTTGTCCCTTCTCCCTATCTTCCGAAAGCTACATTGTGAACCAAATACAAAGCAGTTTACCAGGAAGTATGTGTGATTTTCCAAGCAACCCAAACGGCTCTGCGGGAGCAGCTACTGGATATCATCTCGAGTCCGTTTCGGAAACAGAAATAATCACCAGTCTGGATGGTGAGAGAGAGGATGACCCACACATGCCCTCTGATGATGACATCGAGAAATCCTTTCGAGTCAATCAAGATGGAAGTATGACCGTTGAAATGAAGGTACGCCTCACTATTAAAGAGGAGGAAACCATTCATTGGACCACCACAGTCAGTCGCTCCAATGTGTGCAATCAATTTACAGCAGCCACTCTTCCTTGTCCTGAGCTGGAAGCTAATTTAGCTGATAGCTTACCCCCTCAAAACGATCCTGGTGCCATTGAGGTCAACGAGAGTGACCCCAATAACACGAGCTGCTCCTGCCCTGAGGAAAACTGTAAGGTACATCCACAGAGTGAGATCAATGGAGGAAGCATGGAGTTAGAGCGGCTTGCTCACAAACAAGGATCCGTCGAGAGCATCAGTGATACAGAAACGAATAAGAACTCTTTATGCTCCAACGTGGAAGATCCGGACAATGGAGAGGCGAAGCAGAACCACCCCGTCCCCAAGCCTCGATGCACTCTTCCCTCTGATACGAACACCACCACATCGATTCAGTCCAGTGACTACAGATCTTCAGAAGTCCTCCAGTTGCAGGACTATCAGAAAAAAACTGTGTTACACATCTGTGAAGAGAACTTCTCAGGCAATTCGCAACATGGCTATATAGCATCTTCTGACACAGTATCCTCAGATAAAACAATCCATTACTTTAATGAAGATGTGAAATCTGAGACCATGGCATCAGTCAAATGTCAGTCAATTTGGGAAAAAGATAAACCATATGCTGCCACTTACAAAACAAACACCTCCTCAACACAAAGGGCCAAGGTGTCCGTAACACCATCCCCAAAAGCATCGGCATCTAGAGGAGTTATTACTGTCGATACAACCACAAAGAGGAAGTCAGTGCGAGTAATAGTGAAAAAGAATCACTTGTTTAGGTCCGCTTATCCAGAAAGAAAGCCGAGGGATAAAAAAGATGACATCCTGAAGGAGATAAAGAAAATAAGAGCTGATATACTGAGCCAGAAAGGAGCTATAAAACATGTCAGAGCAAAAGCGGTTCAAAAACTTCTGAAAAGGAGAAATAATAGTGGGAACGGACTAAAGCCTCAAACAGAGCGTGTTCAGACGACGTCGAGTACAGACGACCCAAGCCCACAATTGGTTGAAAAAGAACAAAACAACCTACAAGTGCAAGCTGATGGTTTCACTCGGCCAAAGGAAAACCTGCATAAGACATCCGTCAGCAAAGGCACAATGACACAGCAAACATCAGACTATGTTGAACTCTGGCTACAATCTCAACAGATTCCAGCACAGTCCTGTTTAGAAGCGATACCCAAAAATAACACAATGGCAAAAGCATCACTGTTCAATGACCAATCTTGTAAGACAATACAACCATCAACAAAGGACAAAATTGATGAGAAAGGGATCCATGTACATTCGCCAAACGCCAAAAGGCCAACACTTTCAGACTTAACAAAAACAAATGGAAATCAACAGATTTCTGAGCTAATAGTTAAGACCTCCTCGCATGACACAGAAAATACTTTGAGAAGACCAATTAATATCCAAAGTAAGCCTCTAACAGAACTGATAGATCTGCAAGCACAAAAATACTATACGGTTAAAATGGCTGTAAGGCCCGATATGAAGCCTGTACTTGATCGGCTTTGCAATTCCATCCTGTCGCTTCGTGAGATCACCCAACACAAGCGGTCATTATGTTTGAAAACATCCAAATGTCTGCCAGATTTTTCTTCATCCTTGGCATCTACGTTTAGCTCTTCCTCTAGGGTAGTCCTTGCCTTTCTTTCCATCATGACTTTAAAGGATGGCTTAAGCCATTTAAATACATGTAGTCAGACTGAGGCCAACCTAAGCAGTTCAGAGGCAATGCTCATGCTCCAGTCTCTACAGGAACTGGCAGTGATAGAGGATGGACAACATCTAAGGATAAGTCTGTCTGACCTCTACAACTCGGCATCTGATCAGCTTCTTCAGAACTGGAAGGGCTTCCAAGTACTGAACAATAAAGCAAGAACTAGCGGTGGGAGTGAGTCCCATCACAGGTCAAGTATAGAGGAGGAAGAACATTCAATCCAAGTGCTGATGGAACATCTAGGTGTTCCTGAAAGAGTCCGAGAGGAGCTGGCGGCCCTCAACCATGCAGATGTAGAGTACATGACTTGCAGTCAGATGGAGGACACTGACACAGTAAGGGATTCACTCCCAGAGATGAATATGAATGGCGTTTCAGAGCACCGCTCTAAAGAGCGGGTGTTTAGTTTCTCAGAGTTTGTGCTGGAAGATTATGTGAGCACCTATGTTAATTCAGTTATTGATAAAGCTATAAATGCACACCTCACAGCAGGCTCACAGGCAAGACCTGATGTGGACAATCTTGTGATCACCGATAGACACCAACGAGATTTGAGAAATGAGATCTTCTCCAACATTAAGAGAACTTTTCAGGGTGATGCGATACCTGACTCTGCTATCTGCGAGGATGTGTCATCTAGTGAATCTGGCTTTGAGGCAGAAATGTGCCGAGAAATGGGGTTAAAGAGAACAGGATTGCAAGGAATGGAGAAAGTAAGACGCAAGCGACCAGGAGAAGAAGAGACTGTCAAGAAACATCAAGAAAAGGAAGAGAGACAGTGGGAAATTGATGAGGGAAGAGGTACATGGGAAGAAAGTAGTTCTGAAGTAGAGAAGACAGTATTACAAAAAGAAGAGGTCATAGGAACAGCGGTAAATGATATCGAGAAATACATAGACACGGTTGAAGAGGAAGGAACTCAATTATCAGAGGAGTCACTTATTACCTGTACAGGAAAACTACATTTCTCTGTGAAAGAAAAGTCCCGCCAACAGAAGGACAACGAGAGTGAGATCTTTCCTTGCAATGAAGAAGAGAATCTTACTGTGAAAAGTCCAGAACAGGTATACTCAAACGAGAAGATTTCAGGACTTTGGAGCAATGAGAGGGATGTTGCATTACCTGAGGTGCAAGGTATTTCTCATTGTGTTCATATTGAATCAAATACAGAAGTGGATCAAGACTTGTGCATGGAAAGTGGGACTTATTCAGAAGAGGAACAGGTGATCCTAGAAGCGCCAGAATGCTACACCATCTACCAAGAGGACTTTGAGGAGATGTCGAATGAAGCCACAGAGTGTGAGGACAATGAGATTCATTTTAAGGAAGAAATAGCAAGCACTGTTGTAAAGCTTATCTGCAGTCTACAGGACCAGGAAAAATCAGAGTGTAAGAGACCTCATAATACAGCACAAACATTTGGCGAACAGCTCTTGAACCACATCAATGAACCAAATCTAGAGGCAGCAGAGTTTACCAGAACCACAGATAGGGCATCCATGGATTCAGTCTCATCCTCATTAGCATTCAGCTATGATTCCAAGAACAGTGCTTTGGCAAAAGATTCAGAGGTACACATTCAGACCAACAAAGTGAAATCCATCAGAGACATGTTTCTTGCTAAGAAGAACTCTACAGACATACAGCCGAGAAGCCCAAGTTGTGATTCGGCAGAATACCGATTTGAATCCTCTGACAAGAAACAACACCAATCCACAGACGATTCAAGAGAAGAGGAAGATCCATGCAAGTTGTCCATTGCCAAAGGTTATGTAAAAAGGACTATTGAGCGGCTTTATGGGCAAGGCCCTAAAGGATTATTAAGTTCTGATGAGAAGAGATCTTCTTCAGCCCACAAAGTCAAGAAACGAGAAGGCCTTAAAGGTACAAATTCCCCCAGGTTGCCCTCAATCAATGAGGCTCACACTAATGCCATACAGGATTTGTCATACTTTAACGCCACGAGCACAAGAGACGGCTTCAATGAGCCAACGCAATGCGTTACTCTGAACGCCAGGGTGGGACCAAATGATGCAGTCCTAATTGATAAGGGTCGCTGGTTATGCAGGGAAAGCCAAACGAGTCCGAAACCTTGTCCAGAGAATGAAGACACACCCAAGCGTGTAAAGTCAGAGACGGATTCTGGGAACGAGGATATTCCATATTCCCTATTTGGCCATTCTCCCATCATACCTGACAAGGATTCGTCTCTCAAAGAACAAGGGGAAAACACCGGGTGCCTAGGGAGGACGTTCACCTACTTTCACCTTCCAAACGCCAATGATTCAGAGATACAGCCAGAAGAGCAAAAACCTGACCCTCCCGAGGGGAAAACAGAGATCAAGGATACAGAACATCACAGTATTGTGTCTGCCTTGGTACCACCATCCAATAAGGTGCATCCGATCACAGAAACTACACCTCCAGTAGTTACCCAGCCGACTAAAGGACAAAGCGCTACAGTCACAAGACGCTCTGCAGAACCTGATGCGCTGGAGATTATATATGTGTTTTGTGGACAACACTGCCCCATACTCTAAACTTGCTTCAGATTGTGAAATAATTGATTTGTACAATATCGACGTTAGTCCTCACCTCGACATTGGCAATGGGCACCAACATGAACTCAAACTGAGAACAAATGCCAGTCTGGAATGCTCTCTGGTAACCCCAAGGTGTGTTTGATTGGGGATGAGTGGCTCTTGAGGGCCGGGGATGCCTGGGTCTAGTCTGCCTGTCCCTGATGAGAAGCAGTGGCCGCTGTGCTGGCCGTGGATTAGATTGATACAAACAAAGATTGAAGACAGAACAAACTAATGGACTAAGAGACCGTTTACACAATGCTTTTTTGGTTTTTAAATAAATGCAAGACGCAGTGCGTTGGAATGGAAAAAAATGTGCAAGATCTCAAGATGCCTTTTGAAAAGTTGAACTTCTTGGCACACCAGTTTTACTCCAGAATAAGATAATTAATGAATGGCGTCGAGCAGTTTTTAGCACATTATAAACAGAGATTATGCTCTGGGCAACAGCTCTCCAGCCGTCATTTGCACGACAAGCTCTTTAACGAATTGTGCATCCTTGTTTCCTTAAGATACAGGGAAAGAAAAGGAAAAACATATTTGTCCGCTACAGACATGCTCAATCTCTCACGGTTGGCGGAGCTGGAAGAGTCTTTTTGTCCAAAGCATAGAACAGACTTATTTCTACTCATCTAACAGTGTATGTTGCATGACCACGCTGCCTGTGACCACTAAGGGAAAGTTGGAGATATAACATTTATAATTTTGTGTTTGTAAATTGTATTTATTTGTATTATTAGAAATGTCAGTAGATTTGTACAAACTTGTGTTGTTATTTTGGTAACCATTATATCTCACGCATTAGTAGACTGTTGGGGTTCGGGTTAGTAGAATAAGTTGTGATGTAGTTGAAAAGTTATTATAGTCAGTAGAATGTCTGGAATAGTGTCACCACCTTCATATATATATATATATGGAGAGTTCAGATGCAAAAGCCTCTAAATGCCATTTGAAATTTTCTTCTTTAATGATGATTTTTATCAAACTTGTATATTTAAGTTCAGTAATTTCACTTAAATGGAAATGATAATTACCTATTAATTGTTATTTAAGTGAAATTACTGAACTTAAATATACAAGTTTGATAAAAATCATCATTAAAGAAGAAAATTTCAAATGGCATTTAGAGGCTTTTGCATCTGAACTCTTCATATATATATAAACCTATAGTGCAAGGTTTTTCATAGAACCATAGATGCCAATTAAGAACCTTTATTTTCAAAACTCTATTTATGAAATATGAGTGCGAAGAAGTTCAATACAGTAAGACTGTGTAACTTGTGTATGGTACAGTATGCACAAAAAACGTGTAATGTATCGTCAAAATGAGACTCCTCAATCAATGGCAGCTGATGTGTATTAATAAGAAAAAAATAATAATTTGTTTAGTTAAACGTGTGTTTATTATGTCCTCTTTTTCATGAACTTGAGATCTTTCTTTTTCTGCCATAGACAGTTTCCATACAAATCTTGGCATTAAAAATGTTGAATTATTGATTGAGTCCTCTGTCTGTCTTTGTCTGGGATTTTTGTTTTGTTTACATCAGTTTAACTATTATAACCAACCCATACACGATAACACCAACTAAATTAAATGTGCATAATTATTTGTTATAAACAGTTGTTTCTTTATATGCACGCATTTTAATCAGTGAAGCGGTTACGTGTAATAAAATAGTCTCGTTGAAGAGGAAAAGGGTAATTAGAATATCTAACTTTTTTAATAAATGCAAATTGTAATTAAGCTTTATTATATCCGTATAAAAGCTTAAATTAAGGAAAATTAGATGAATCTTGTTAATCAACAAGTAAAAGTTCACTTAATGGTCAATTGTTTATTTTATGTGGATATCAAGCAATTCAAAATAATTGGTACACAATAATTTTTCCCTCTTTCCAATAATAGCAAACTGGATGATAAACACAAGTCGGGACAGAATATCAAGAGATTTACAGTGACGACATGGGAATTTTTGTTTTTGACTAAAGAATCATGTGGAATTTAGATCAAAAGTGTAAGTAAAAGTCCATTTCAAATAGTACCACTTGACCAATATCCATATCTCAGGTTATGTCTATGAGCGTGGAAGGAAATGGACATTTATTTTGGCGTACACAAAAGCCTGAATTATAAATTATAATATCACATATTTTTTTAGAAATTGTGAATTCAGGTCTATAATTTAATACGAGACACTCATATTTCGTGTTGTCAGATTATTTGTTAATTGCATTTAATAAATGACAGCTTCAAAGAAACTGCAGTTGGTTTGTAAAAGGTGTTGGTTTTGACTGAGCTTTCGCTGCATTTACACTGATCTGACCAGCAGGGGTCGCTAAACACTGAAACATTTTGCCAAACAAACAGTTTATTCAAGTTTCTAAACACTTCACTTCACATCTCCTGTCACTGAAAACAACCACAAAATACACCAGATCCTGAACAGAGGAAACAACCCAGCGTCACAACTCGACAAAGTAGTTATACGAGTAGATTTGGTACAAACTACATCATCATACTTGCGTCTTGCACCCTGTCGCCGTTTAAAACTGACCTGTCAATCATCTCGTTAAAGTTAAGTTCCTCAACGTTGAATTTGATTTAATTTCCTACCGTTTCGGAGAAATGCTGCAGCTGCTGATGTGCCCGTCGTGGATCTTTCGGAGATTCTCCTCGTGTAATGATGCATTTAATAGTTTAAGACCAGCCATATATTAATTAAAGTTCACAATACTTTTGCATTGTAAATAACATAACGTTATAATACATATCCCTTCGTCGTCGTCAGGTTAGATACTGATTAATCACTCAAACCACTTTATTCACACCAAGTTAGCCGTATCGCAAATCCGCCATGTTTGTAGACCTAATCGAACCCGAATCCTCGTCTAACACGCAATGGGTTGTGGGAAATTTTAATTAGAGTGTGCACGACCTGCACTTTAGATTCCAACCGGAAACTGTACACCCTACTTGAAATAATCATTTCAACATAACACTATTTGGAACATTAATTCTGATAGTATGTGAATTGGGAAGCAGCAAAAGAGTTCGCTACAAGAATGAATGGCAAACACCAATCAGAAAACTACAAACCGACTACAATAGGAAAACAAAAAACAGAACAAAAGTCCCGAGCAGGGATTGTAATAGTACAACAGCAGTTTGGGGGATTCATTGTATGACACCCAATCTCCTTTACTGTACAGCAGTGCGGTCCATATAAGCTCAACACACACACACACACACGCTGATTAATTTTAGCACTAAATTCTCTTGTTATGAGGTGTACCATAAAGCTTTAATGATATAAAGTTAGTTATATGCATTCAACTGTTATTTATTTGCTAAACGGCAAATTCTTTTCAAATTCTGTCAATTACATAGATATAAATTTAAATGCAAGTTCATAAGTTTACAGCATTGCTTTCCTCCTTAAAACTGCAGTGAACCAAAGACACTCAAAAACACGTTTTGAAATCGCTGGTGTTTCTGACGTCACAAACCACCTTGCAACCAATCAGATCTATGAGTGAGTGTAGGCGGAGCTCATTTGCATATTCATAGAACCACTGCGAACACTAAATGAGGCGAGGGTGTCGAGTTACAGTCAAGATATTTTAAGACACAAGGAAAAGAAATTTAAATATGCAATTTCTGTGATCAACGATGAGTTAAGGGATAAAATTGACATCACAATCTTAGATCAGGAGCTAATCTGATTCTTTTTGAACACATTTTCATGTGATCTGATTGGCACATTTGAACATCTGGTTATCACAATCACTAGCGTACTCGTTTTTCAGATTTGAAGAAGAAAAAAAGTGACAAGATTTAAAAATACACTTTTATTACATATTAAAAACCTTCGTAGAAACGTTGAACAAACACACACACACAGCGCTCCAAGACATGATCAGCTGGGCTTCTTCCTCAGGGTCGTGGCTTTCACAGACTTCCTGATGGTGCGGCACAGACTCCCAGTGGACGGAGGAGTCATGGACTCTTTAATGTTGAGCAGAAGACCACACCGCGGACGAGACCCGACGCTCACACTCGCACGCTTCACCTCCTCACGCAGACGGCCGATCTCCTCCTCTCGAGCGCTGGCATCACTCTCCAAACACTCCGCTTTCTGCTCCTGTCCACACACACACACACTCTCAGCACAAGCAGCAGCCTTACGGAGTGAGTTAACCTGCAGTTCCTCCACTGGCCACTAGAGGCACTGCAGAAGAGACTCACTCCCATAGACCCGCATGTTAAAACGGCCAACTTTATACTTTTTGGTCTATATTGCTAATGTTGTCCTTCATGACCGTGAGGGGGTGAATATTTTCATAACCCATCCGTTTAAATTATATTAAGCCATAAAGTTCTGCATAATTAAGGGCGTGGCCACTTGAGTGACCGGTAGGGTTGGGTATCGAGAATCGAGTATCGATTGGAACCGGGACTAACTTTTCGTTTTTCCCGGAATCGTTCAAAAGTTAAAATTTCGATTCCTAGTTTCGATATTCACAGTCCGCCGAGCGGAAGAAGAAATCGCTGAACACCAACGAAGAAGCGTCTACCGGAAGTGTTGGCATAACCGCGCGAGTCGAACATGAGTAGCTTACGTCGGCGGTCCAAAGTGTGGCTTCACTTTTCTAAAAATAACGAAATCTCGGCAAAATGCAAAATTTGTGACAAAAGGAGTATTTCCTTCAGAAAGGCCGTTGGTTAGGAAGTTTAGCTAAACTTTTTTGACCCCGCCTCTTAAAAGAATCGGAATCGAGAATCGTTAGGAACCGGAATCGAAACAAGGAATCGGAATCAGAATCGTTCAAATTCAAACGATACCCAACCCTAGTGACCGGTGGACTGCCGCTGATGTCACTGCTAGCCGTTTGTCTGCTAGCATTAGAGTCACCTCAGCTAATCCCCCTCGTTGCACATGCTCGTTTATCCAGGAGTAACACACTGCCAAGATGGCGACAGCCGGCTCCGCCCACTTTTGGTTTCAAATGCTGTTCAGAAGCACTACAGGTGACGTCACACACTTTTTTAGGTCTATGGTTTCATTCAAGTGTCCCAACCTGATTCAAGAGTCTGTTTTGTAGAGTTTGGATCTCCGCAAGTTTTTCCATATAGCTCTCGCCGGCTTCCTGAAGCGTCTCGTTCAGCTCGCCGATGCGCCGCTCGAGAGACACGATGAGCTGAAACACAGAGCAGACACTCACGATTCTGCAGCACTTCCAGGAGTTCGCCATCTCTGGGGCATTTACCTCTTGCTTCTCAACACACAGATTCTCCACCGCACACTTCTCCTTGTACAGGATCTTATACCTTTCTGCAGTTTTACATTTTGAAAAAACATTTAGTATTATTTAGAAGACGTTTACCTCGAAAAAGTTCCCTTGAGGACAAAGTCAAGATTACACACAAACACGATACCTGTGTCTGTGGACAGCAGTGGGCTTGTCTGCGTAAAGTCGTCCTGTTTGAGGGGTTGAGGACCAGAACACCGGCATTTCTGTTCCAACTCAAATACAAGTTTCTCTAGCGCCTATAAACAAAATGATCGGGATTAAATCGCATTAAGCCGCCAAGCACAAAGGAACGAGAAGTCACGCAAGCATGGCTGGAACAGACCAACTGCAACAAGCAATTCAAGACATTATGATTTTAGACTGAAAAATTGTAGATAGTCATCAGTAATGGTTTATCACTTTCGACCAATAGGTGGTGCTGTGATCAAACTTTGATTCGCTTCAGGACATGGTTCTGAACGACAACGTTCGCAAGAGATTGCTTTTTAATACAAAATTCAAAACGCAGATGCCCAAAATTTCCAATATGGTGCTGTTCGAGAGTAAACCACGCCTCAAATATGAGAAAATAAACGTGTGGTTTCC